GCCACCTCCAGTGTATGGGGCTGGCGCCCTACTCCTTTGAGCTACAAGTGCCGCCCCATTTTCTTTAATAATGTGTATAATTTTTTTTTTTACTCCTATTATTGCCTAAACAAACACACATTAAATTCAATTTGGGGGTTGGGGGAGACAGGGTCTTGCATTGTTGTCCACGCTGGAGGCCCGTTGTGTCATCACAGCTCACTGTAACTCTAAAAGTCCTGGGATCAAGTCTACCTAGTTACTAGAACTGCAGGTGTGTGCCACCACAAGGACTGGCCAATTTTTCTATTTTTTAATGAAGTGGGATCTCAGTCTTGCTTAGGCTGGTCTCAACCTCATGACTTCAAATAATCCCACCACCTTAACCTCCCAGAGCGCTAGGATTATAGGTGTGAGCCACTGCATCAAGCCAAATTGAAAATATTTCTGATAATTGCTACTCCTACATTTTTGTTAAGCCCATGAATCTTTGTCCAAGAAATTCTGCAACAGCTAGGAGATAAAAAAGTAAAATGTGGTGTATAGGTGATACTGTGCATGTAATACCGTAGGGTGAGAAGTGAAGGTTGGTAGCTAAAGAAAACAGTTTGGGAATAGCAGAACTAACTGTACTGTGCTAGTCAGAGGACCATGACTTGTGCATTTGCCTTTATGTTTCACATCAGAAGGTCAGCGTATTTGTAAAACAATTCCTGCCTCACATGTGTGATAGATACGGGTCATCTCTTGCAAGAGTATTCAGAATTGCTTCAACTGCTATCCCCAAGAATAAATATATTTTATGGCATGGCACAGACATGCCCACTCATTCCAAAAATAAAAGTTTCACTAAACAGAACTTACTCTTTCTATAAGTGATGCGCCTTGATATTTTATCTTCTTTTAAAAAAATGTTGGTTGCAAAGTTTTTTTTTTTTCTGTTTTTTTTTTTTTAAGATAGAGTCTCACCCTGGGTATAGCACCGTGGCATCATAGCTCACACAGCAACCTCAAACTCTTTGGCTCAAGTGATCCTCTTGCTTCCACCTCCCGAGTAGCTGGGACTACAGGCGCCTGCTACAATGCTCTGCTAATTTTTCTGTTTTCAATAGAAACGAGGTCTTGTTCCTGCTCAAGCTGGTTTTGAACTCCAGAGTTCAAGCAATCCACCCGCCTTAGTCTCCCAGAGTGTTAGGATTACAGGCATGAGTCACTGCACCTGACTGGTTGCAAAAGTAAAGTGATTTTTCGGAGACATAAATCCAGGTTAGGTTGAATAACACTGTCCTCCTGTTAGGGGGACTCCTTATGTACCATTTATCTTTATAATTCTCTGGCTTACCAAAGCCACCCTGGGTACAGAAAAGTCTTACACAAGAAAGATGATATAGAGTCCAAACCAGAAAATCCCACCTGGTCTGTCCATGTAGAAATGTAATGTACTTTGTTTTAACAATTAACAAACTGTATCAGGCTCGGTGCCCATAACACAGTGGTTACGGCACCAGCCACATTCACCAAGAATGGCAGGTTCGAACCCAGCCTGGGCCACCTAAGCAACAGTGACAACTACAACAAAAAAATAGCTGGGCATAGTGGCGGGTGCCTATAGTCCCAGCTACTTGGGAGGCTGAGCAAGAGAATTGTTTAAGCCCAAGAGTTTGACATTGCTGTGATCTGTGACAGTACAGCACTCTACTGAGGGTGACATAGTGAGACTCTGTATCAAAAAAAAAAACTATATTTAATAATATAAAATTTGTCATTAAATCTTAACATATCTGTCAGTACAGTTTGATGATGTGGGAACAAGAAAAATGTAGTAGAATTTTTATTTAGTTGGGAAGTTGAATGATATAACTATGATAATAATGACCATAATTAGCAGTTCTAATTCACTGGGTATTTATGTAGTGCCAAGGACTTTATCATTCTTAACTACGTTTGGTTCTCCCAGCTATCCAAAAAGGTAGATTTATATATTGCATATGAGAAAACCATGCCTTAACCATGCATTTAAATGTCTGGCACACCCTCCGTGCTCATCTTCACTATGCAAAATCCAGTACAAGCATTGGAGGCAACAGGTCCTGAATCATGTCACTGTCACATCTGAATTATATGACTCTGAGCCTCAATTTCCTCCATACAAAAGAAAGAAAACATGCATTTCATGCAGCCATGGTGAGGAGTAAGGAAAGAATTTAATGCACAGTTAATAACAATACTTAGTAATAGTAATACACAGGGCTGTAAATAACGGAGAGGACATGACTTAAAGAGGCTGTGAAGTCATCCCTCTTGTCAATAGCTAGCCCCAAACCAAAGCGTTAATGATTTCTTCATAGCATCGCCATAGGAAGAATGATCAAACTTTTCTTTCTTTTTCTTTTGTTTTTGTTTTGTTTTCTTTTTTGGGTCAAACTGTAGGGTAAGAAATGGTGCATCAGTTTTCGTTTACATTTATCCTATCATGTTATAAATTTTAATTTTTAATTGTTTCAATTGAGAAATAATAATTGTACATATTTATGGGGTAGATAGTGATGTATTGATACATAGGGGTCTATGAGGGTAAACCATCCTCTCAAACATTATGCTGTCAGGAACATTCAGGATCCTCTTAGCTATTTGGAAGGCTCTAATACATTATTGTTAACTATAATTATTCTACAGGACTAGTAGAATTTTTAATTGATTAATTTTTATAGATTTGTCTGATCCATAGAAAATGTCCCTTAGAATATTTTTGATTTAAGGGTAATTATTTCCGATGTTTTTGGTATCCACCTGCCCCAAAGGCACTGGATGGACCTACTGACTGGGGTCAATTCCCAGGGCTTCATTTCATTTAGTGCTTAGTTAGATCACAGCTCACTTTCAATTAATGTTTACCATTTGAAGTTTAGTAATTTCTTCAGTGCTATTAAAATTTGAACAATGATGTAGACTGTTGCCTCTGAATCAACTGTCAACTCCATGTCACAGAATCCTTTGTATATATTCTATAAGAAACTCAATTTGTACTGAAGATACTTAAAATATATTTCTCAAAAGGCAAAATTACAGAGCATTTCTTTTTTCTTTTACAATACTTATTTGTAATAAAAGTTATGGTTTTGACAAGAAGTATCTCTCGCTTTTCAGAACAACTCTTGGAATTTATGCACCAGCTGCCTGCTTTTGCCAATATGACGATGTCAGTGAGACGAGAGCTCTGTGCTGTGATGGTGTTTGCCGTGGTGGAGAGAGCAGGGACCATAGTGTTGAATGACGGGGAAGAGGTTAGTAAATATTTTTACCACTTGAAAAGTTTGCTGTTCAAGGATCTCTCAATACAGCAATTGAACAATAACCAATTTCTTTTAAAACCTCAACAACAGTAAGTTTAAATAAATCAAGAACTATAATATACTTATGTCACAGAATTCCAAATCCATTAATTTTATTTTTCATGCTTGGTGTATTTAATACAATACTGATAGAAATTTTTTGGTTTATTAACTTTTCAGTTTTTGCAGCTTAAAGGTTCATAAATACAGTACCTCTTGTTAGACAAAATGATATTCTTCTTGAGGCAGTCATGATCATTTTATCTTGTTTACCATGTATTTTGGGGGACAGAAGAAATTATTTTCTGTCACTTTAGAGATGGATATCCAAAGTCAAATTCAAAGGGTAGAATATATAATCTGTGCTAGGCATATGAAAATATGTAGGTATTAGGCTGTGTTTTATTCTTTGTTTTGTGAACCTGTTAAAAAATTGTACTAGTTATTATATTTGTTCCATCTTTAAAATGGAAGATATATATATATTTTGGGATTTTCATCTGTATGATTGTAATGTTATTTTCTGCTTTGCTTTGCCTTTTTGTTTTCTGATTAGCTGGACTCCTGGTCAGTGATTCTCAATGGTTCTGTGGAAGTGACTTATCCAGATGGAAAAGCAGAAATATTATGTATGGGAAATAGCTTTGGTGTCTCTCCTACCATGGACAAGGAATACATGAAAGGAGTAATGAGGACAAAGGTGGATGACTGCCAGGTATAAAATATCATTAAAAACATATGTTTTATTCTTAATAAAGAACACTTACATGCAGTTGTGATGAGATTTTTCTGCTTATATAAATATGGAGATAAAATTTTAATGTAGAACTATTACTTTTGTCATGCCTCAGGAAATTAAAAATTAGTCTCCAATTAAGTCATTGAAACGCTACAGAATTATGTGTCCTATTTTTTTTTAAAGGGGTTCTATAAATGTAGTATTTAAAAGTTGTCATCTGGCCAGGCGCTGTAGCTCATGCCTGTACAGCATTATGGCAGGCCAAGGCAGGTGGATTGCTAGTGCTTAGGAGTTCAAGACTAGCCTGAGCAAGAATAAGACCCTGTCTCTACTAAACATAGAAAAATGAGTTGGACATTACTCTAGAAGTGAGAACAATGTAACCTAGAAATTGTACCCTCATATTAATTTGAAAAAATAACAAATTCTCAAAAAAAAAAAAAAAGAGTTGGGCATGGTGGTACATGCCTGTAGTCGTCAGGTACTCAGGAAGCTGAGGCCGGAAGATCGTTTGAACCCAGGAGTCTGAGGTTGCTATAGGCTAGGCTGATGCCGCAGCATGCTACCCAGGATGACAGAGTGAGACTCAGTCTCAAAAAAATAAAAAGTAACAATAAGTAAAAATGAAAATTGCCATCAATAATAATCACTAAAAATATGGAAGTAAAATGTACACTATGAAAAGAAAATTTAAGTACATTAATAAAAATGATATGGTACAGTTATGCAGTATTTTTATTTAAATACCTATAAAAAACTGATTTTAGAAGAGTCATGGAAATTAATCATAGTATGAATCAGTGGGAAAACTTGCTAGTCAGTGGCTCAGCGCCAGTCACTCAGTGGTTAGGGTGCTGGCCACATGCACCAGGGCTGGTGGGTTCAAACCCAGCCCGGGCCTGCTAAACAATAGTGACAACAACAACAAAAATAATAGCCGAGCATTATTGTGGATGACTATAGTCTCAGCTTCTTGGGAAGGTAAGGCAAGAGAATCTCTTAAGCCCAAGAGTTTGAGGTTGCTGTGAGCTGTGATGTCATAGCACTCTACTGAGGGAAACATAATGAGACCCTGTCTCAAAAAAAAAAAAAACAAACTTGCTAGTCAAATAATTGCTAATGAAAATACTTGATAAAAAATAAAAATAGTTGGACCGCACCTGTGGCTCAAAGGAGTAGGGCGCTGGCCCCATAGACTGGAGGTGGTTGGTTCAAACCTGGCCCCAGCCAAAAACTGCCCTCTAAAATAAAATAATAAAATAAAAATAGTATTGCTATTATAATAATCATTATTTAACAGCATTTAATAAATTTTGTGAAATTTAAGTAGATATAACTGGTAACCTCTGTAGTATTGAGAAAATTAAGATTGTAATTAAGATTGTTATTGAATGTTTATAATTTGTCTTGTTTTACTAAAAAATTTTAACTTTGAAAGACAAATGTTTTAAGTAACCAAAAATTTAAGTTAGAGGGATTAATGTTAAGCGCTCATTGTATTTATTTGTGTGCATTTTAAAAGACATCTGAATGTGATTTATTCTAAAAGAACAAAATTGAATTTCTGTAGTGTCAGATCAATGTAAATATTATCACCCATTTAAATATGTATTACAGGCATTTAATGTACTAAAAGAAAAACTGACCATTGCTATACATAAAATAATGTTACCTAGAGAATCTAAATACTTTTATCAGATAATTTGTTTGGTGAGCAAAGAACAAAAAAGCTGTGAATTCAATGTTTTAAAGATGTAGTTCTAGAATAGTATTCTAAGTATAGTCAACTCTCAATTATTTGATGTAACAGAGGAAAACAAAGTAGTAGGTAAATTTGGAAATGTCTTTGTGGCCTGGGAATGTGCATTTAAAGAGGTTTATATGGTATTTTAGCTCTGGAACGGTACTCCAAAAAATAACAAAACCAGAGTCAAACCAGGTTAGAAAATTGTTAGAGATCCCTGAGCCCTAAAGGTCTGTTGAGATCACAACAGCATTGGGGTCAGATTTCTGTCCTTAAAGGGCAAGTGAAAGTTATTTCCTTCTTGAGAAGTTAGCTATTTGATACCCCTTAGTTGGTTAAATCCTTTTGTTAGAAATTTTGTAATTATGAGATAAATGATGTCAGAGGCAGAGAAATGCTTTAGAATAATTGATAAAAATGTTATCTGACTGAGTATTGCTGAGTGCCTACGTCATGTACCAGGTAACAGTATTAAGTATTTATGTGAGAGCTCTGGGAAAAAAGGGAGGTGGGGTGAAGTTAGGGAAGAGAGTCTAGTCTGTTCACAGAATGAGGAATTGGTAGGAAGCCTGGTCAGCAAGACTGAGTTCAATTCAAAAGAAAACTAAGTAGCTATAGAATTCTTGTAGCTCCCAATGTTGCAGAGGGAATGGCATGAAAAAAAAAATGGCAAAAATGTCTGTCTGGACTTCTGGGGAACTGAAACCTGCATCCCTGCCTCAGTCAGGCCAGTGGTCCGGAAGGGCGGGAATGTCTCTTTTTCTTTATGCCTTAGGAAATCATTGAAGGGAATCCTCTGGGTGAAGGTCACAAGATTCTCTAGGCCCAAAATGGGAGTATGCGCTCAGAAGCTTTATTTTTATTTTTTATTTTTTTTTGAGATAGAGCCTCAAGCTGTCCCTCTGGGTAGAGTGCTGTGGCATCACAGCTCACAGCAACCTCCAGCTCCTGGGCTCATGCG